TTAACGTGTCGTCTGTACAGTNTACGATATATATATATATATATATATATATATATATATATAGGTTAGAGATGATTAAATGGAAGGTTTTCATCTTACGAAAAAAAAAATGACTTAATTTTGAAGTGCATCTTAATTCTATAGCAAAATGCTCCAACCTTATATAAACTTTGTGCTTTTAACATTTTAACCTTTTGTACTCATGATCGTGACTTTTTATGATATTTGGAGTTAAAATCAAGAGATACAATTAGAATGTTAAACAATTCATATGTAATGTGTATTTGGATAAGGGAAAATAATGCATAAATATCTTTATTTTTTCATAGTTTACTCATGGGTGCCCTTTTTTTTTTTTTGTTGGTTTTTATTCTTTCCCAAAAGGAAAAAGTTTATATAAAACCGAGGTTTTAAACAAAAAAATTAGAGGTTATATAAAAAATTTCACTAGAAGAGGATGTTTTTATGCCCAAATATCTTCAAATTAATTATCTAGACATCAAGATGTATGGACATGAGAAAAAGATGGATTTAAAGTTTTGGAAATAGTGTATTTTAGAATGCATTATTGGATCGTCAATTTTCAATATTTTAAAGTTTTTATAGATATGTCGATCTACACTATTTTTGAAGCTTTAAATTTCATAAATAAAGATAAAAATATATGTTAAGTCTATCACAAAAAATTTCAATATTAAATCCACATTTCTCGATACTATTTGAAGGCGGGCTCTGTTTGTTTAGAGCCTAGGCTCTATACAATCGGCACCCTTCTCAAAATAACCTTAGTCAGTATTTGAAGTAGAGGACGTGTTATTTTCATTCTAAAACTCGGCCTTAGTCAGTATTTGAAGTAGAGGACGTGTTATTTTCATTCTAAAACTCGGCCCAACCCTGGAAGTAGTAGATAGCAGAGACGTTAGTTTTCATTTTGAGGGAAAGAGATTAGTTTCTATTTTTAAAGGTTAGAGAGATTTGGGAAAGGGGTGCAGTTTGTATAGAGCCGAGGCTCCGAACAATCAAATTAAAGCCCATCTTTAAATAATGTCGAGAAATATGGTTTTAATTTTAAAAATTTTGTGATAGCCTTAAATTATATTTTTGTCTTTAGTTATAAAATTTAAAGGTTCAAAAATAATGTAAATTAAGCTTAACAATGAAAATTTGAAAATTTTGAAAATTGATGGTCCAAAAATACATTATAAGATGCACTATTTACAAAATTTGAAATCCACTTTTTTCTTATTTTCATGCATGTTGATGTCGGGATGATCAATTGAATGAAATTTGAACATCAAAACAACTTTTTCTAATAAAGTTTTAGAGCTAGGTTCTAATTTGATTGTTTAGAGCCTAGGCTCTATATAAACTTTTCCATTTGGAAAATAGGAATGGCAGATACAAAGACAGGCAAGACTCTACGAATAAAATATAAAACTGAATCGGTTTTTTTTATTATTAAAAAAGAAAAATTGTTTCATGCGGGTTGGACGGTATGTCTGCACACATGGTCCAAAAAGTATAAAGCATCCATTTTAAATTTGTAAGTACGTAGGCGTACTATCTAAAAATAATAGAACCTACCCGACCAATTTTTTACTAGAATTATTATTTTTAATTTTTTAAAATTTATTTATTTTTTCATATTCATGATTTCCATGAATTACATATTTTTAAAAATTAAATCTTAAAATCTATCTAAAAAATAGCTTTATTAAAAGGCCCGCATTTCTACATATGTCGGCTTGGCCGCATAACAACTATGTCGTTAAGAACTGATAAATTAAATTAGAGTGAAACCTTTTTTGTGGGTAATTAAATTAGTCTGAAACTTGATGGTTAGTATTTGGCTTTATATTAATTAACAACTGCATAAAAAGGCAAAAAGAATTAACCCATTTTTTAACATTTATTATAAATGAAACGGAGTAACCTCTTTAATGATTAATAAAACTCCTTTCTTTCCTGGTGTTTGGCCGGGCATGGACTTCGTGTAGATCGAGAACCCTGCCTCCACCCCCCCCGCCGCCCTCTGTCTCTCTCTCCTGATCTGGTTTAGAAAATGAAATGGGGCTCGTTCTTCGTGGGCATGAACCATGAATTGGGGTGGTTAAAGATCTGAAATTTGCTATTTTCTTCATTGTATTAATTTGTTCACAAAGAATCCGGAAATGGGTTGGAAGTATAACGCTGGGTTACTCCTCATTGGTACAACAGTTATCATATGGGTTACCTCTGCTGAAGTTACACAGGTATGAATTTTTCTTTCGAAAAGGCACACAGCTATGAATTTGTTTGCAATCTTTTGAATCTGTTGTTTCCTGGCTTGGTTTTATTTTTTATTTTTGCTATACGAACTTTTATTTATTTATTTATTGGCCGTTTCCGTTTGTCGATCTGTTAAGTTTGCTGGTTTTGCTTCGTAATTGTGGGTGAATTGCTTGATTCTCGTGGTCTGTTGCTTTTTGTTGATTTTTGGCTCATTTTTCTCTGTTGGCTCTGGTAACTGTTAATTTTAACGGCGGTGTTAGTCGTTGAAAACTTTTAATATTTTCTTTCAAAAATTTTTATCATGCAAAAGTTGAAATTGTCATTTTCTTCATATGAATTCTGGAAATATTTTACAAAAGAGTGGTTTTCTTCTATCACTCTCTCTTTCTCTATATATTGAATAGGCCAAATCTGATTTTTTCTATATGGTTATTGTTGTTTAGTTTCTATTTTTTTGGGATTATAAAATTGGTGAATTTGTACCATTAGAGAATATTTGGTCTCCATATTTTGGGATTCTGGTCACTGAACTCCAATAGCTTGTTTAGGGATCACATTTGCCAATAGAAAAGGAAAAGGAAAAGGAAGTATGTGCAGAGTAAATTTCTTAATTTTCTTATTTAAATGCTGTTCTAAGTTCCTATGTTGGAACATCTAAATTTGCCTTAAATTTTGGCCGCCCTTAAAGATTGGGCACCATGCATGTGACTGCTCATCGATTGGCAGCTTTTACTTTAGTGAGCTTCCATAATTGAAAGTATTTGTAATTTATATGTTGTCATCCTTTTTCTTATTATAATTTTCTCTTTTGTATTTCATATAAAGAGTTTGGTTGATTACTCCTATCTCATGAATCTTTAATGTTTATCTTGCAGAAAATATTTACAGACTATAGACAACCATTTGCTCTTACTTATTTGGGAGCCTCTCTTATGGTTGTTTATCTTCCAATAGCAGCTATCAAGGATATTACATGCAAGTTAATGAGGAAACGTTCAGCTAAGAGCAAAGGAAGTGTTGAAACTCTTGATAAATCAACAGGAATTGGTTCACCTCTGAAACTTATTGGTGCCGACAAGGTTTTTGAAATGGAAATGCAAAGCACTTTGACCAGAAAGGATAGTGAATTAGATCTTTCTGCTCAAGAGGAGGGAAGGCCATTGATAGCAAAACACAAAGACAATTTGGACTCATTGAAGCAAAGTAAGGAGCTTACGACAATGGAAATTGCTAAGTTCAGCTTTTATATTGCCCCTATTTGGTTTGCAACTGAGGTAAGCTTTTGCTGAGGTTCATTATTTGCTATCTTTGCTTCTTCTATATTATTATCGCTTGATAATGGTTGGTTGAATGATTTCTCTGTGCAATTGAGTAAATTGTTTATGATAAAGTGGGAGAAAAGGAAACTTCCTAAGTCTAATGCATTGGTGTCCCAATTCATTGTTTTTTATATCTGCAATTGGCACCTCCTTGATCAAATTGGGATATCTTATATTTAGATGCGAATAGCAGTTGCGTTATAACCTATTGCAAGTAAGTTGCTTGTAACCTTTGATTCTTAAGTGATTGCTATGGGAAAATGAATAAGGATTTTGTGGCCGAATTTTTGTGTTAGATGTCTATAAGATATATGAGACTTACCAGTGTATCTAGCTCTATACACTAGAAGTTTGTAATGGCCTTTCTTATGTCGCATGCTGTATAGGCATCTTTCTCTGCAAAGATAGGAATCGTCATACGAAAAACCCTGCTGTAACATGTTGGTCGAAATGACTCTGATAGCTTCTAAAACTTTTGATGGTTCTTCCACTGTAAATAGGTCAAGCTTGGATGAACATTCACCCCATAGGAAGGAAATTTCCTTGGCCTTATGTTATTTATGAATAAAATCGCCATTTTGCCTTTTTTTTGGGTTGGTCAGGATTGGGATTCAAATATGTACATAGTGTTGCAATGGCAACACTATAACCAATCAAGTCCATGCTCTGTTCCCATCTCCATTCTTTCCTTCCATCGGGCAAATCTTACATCCTTTGATGAAAGACATATATCCTCACTTTCTATGGATGCTTATGCTTCTCCTCTTTAGTTCCTTGTCCCAAACGCCACATCTTCCTTTTTGAAATTCCTCCTTTGAAACTTGAAATCAATTAATGGAGCTTCCCTTCTTGCTACTCTTCCTACCTAAATTCTCTCCACTACATTGGCAATTGCTGCCATATCCTAGTTTTAGAGGTGGGCCGGCCACCTAGGCGGGCACCTAGCGCCCTAGGTGGCATTCCAAGTGGGGGTTCTATGCCCCAAGAATGATGTCTGAGGGGTTGGGTTGGAGGCCAAACCCCCCAAATTGATCTTCCAAACCATATTTTTGAAAAACAAATGGAACAAATTGTCTAAGTCCCCCAAACTCTCATGCGCACTAAAATTGAAATTGTATCTCTCAAATTACAGAGCTATAAAAGATTAAGAGATGCCCGAATCCTAAAAATCAGCATTCTACATTGTCAGCTCATTACACCAACAAACCAAAAGTTAAACAAATCACAACTTACAAGCCTTACATAAACTGACAAAATTCACAAGTCTAAAGTATAAATAATGCATCAAATATGATGAACTCAAATCGGCAATTGAGTTTTATCATCATTATCAACAATGTCTACATCTCTACATCTCATGATGATGCCATGCCATCATCACCAGAATCGTCTCTCTCCTCCACATATTCTTTTTTCTTCCCCAGGCCTGTGAATCTGCCACCTTCTCCGCATCCTCTTCCCTCACTCTCTTCAGTCTTTTCCTGGAGATTGAGATCTTGTGTCTATCACGGGGCTTAATTGTCATCCAGTTGCCTCGCGAACTTGGCTTCAAGTCAAGTCCTCTCCAAGGAATATTGGATCATCTCTAGCATTGACCAACCACTCTCATCTATCATCCATATGTCGACAGTAATGGGTTGACTACATCATCATCTAGATATTGTTCGTTAAGCTTCTTGTTAAACTGAAGGAAAATGAGGTCATTCAATCCTTTCTGCTAAAGCCTGTTTATCTTAAAAAATATGCTGGACGGCATGACACATGATTAGAAAATAAAAAAATAAAAAAAGTATATGAGTTTAGTGGACAATCAATTAAATAAGTTAAGAAATTATCATCTTAAAGGAATTAAAGTTGAGCTTGCAAACAGAAGAGCTGCATGTCAAGTTCAATATGCACATGGCCATCTGTTGCAAGTGACTAGAACTTTGCTGTGATTGGTCCCCCATGAACCTATAAATAAAAATAAACAGAGTCTAATAGATATGCTATTATATTTAGACATCAAAATAGATTTTAGAAGTTTGACCTAGAACAAAGTACTCAATCACGAATTCACAATGAAAAAACAAATGTTAAACTTACTGTGAAAGAGGGTTTTCCTCTACCTTATTGCCAATTCCCTGTTAATTGTGCTCATCAAGAATGTGTAGCTGTCCAGCTAGGTTGACGATTGGTCTTATTCTTCTGTACTAGGGATGAGTCTCAATATGTACTTGGTTGATTGCAGACATAAGACATTCCATAGTATATATATGAGGATTATCATAGAAATGTGCAGGGTTGAGATAATACCCTACTAAGTGAAACGGCCTCTCTAACTGCAGGTTACATTGTTCCTCAACAATCTTCAAAACAAGAAAATAGTGTTTTCCATTATACCAAAATTCTTCTTGATGTCCTCCTTGGGAGCGTCCATTGCCACGTAAATATGATCCATAGCCGGCTCCTTCTCGCTATTCACAATGGGCATGACCTTAACGGAAGGTTCATAGGCCTGGAGGGCTTCGACAACCCTTTTCCAAAATTGGTGCCAAAACTAAGTCAGCCACTGCCTTCCTACTTGTTGTCTTGATGCACTTGCAAATCTAATGATGCCAGGCCTCACCAAGCCCCTTTGATCTGTGAACCTCCTCATCAAAGCCATTACATACGTGTGGTTGTATTTGTATATGAACATCATGATGGCTTTTGCATTCTTAAGAGTTGAGGCCGTTGCTTTCATCTTTGTAATCACCTCAAGCATGAGGTCAATGTGGTGAGCCCCAGCTGGTGTCCAAAAGATTTGTAGCTTCTTCATCTCCAACATTTTAGCACTGCAAAGTTGCCTGTAGCAATTTTTGTAACCACATGGACTACGTGGCTCTTTTCCACCACCTCAATTCATTTTTCTACAAAATCAAGGATAAAAGCTGCATCATGAATCTTGTTCGATGTGTCAATGGACTTCCAGAACATTGTCCTCATTGGACAATTTACCATCAAGTTCATAATATTCCTTTGCCTCTTATCGTTCCATATGCTGGTTGTTACAGTGACCCCTTATTTAAACTATTGTATCCCTATGTGTCTTGAAATAATCACTGGTGAGTTGCGCCTCTTTTTTAATTAGGGGTTCCATAGGTTCATCTCATGTAGGAACTTTACTTTTGCCCCATTGCTTCCATCATGATTTGAAGTTCTTCAAGCTAGCAGCATTGAATGGGATCCCAACTTGATAGATCCGTCTAGCTACATATCGACCGACCCTCACCTTTTGTTCATTCTTGAAGTGGTTGTCCATGGTTGTTTGTCACTTTGCCCCTGTTGTCAAACAACATTCTCAGGATCAGGGTGTGGAAGTAAGAATCCATAGGCCCGCTTGCTAGAGGCATTCTGTGCCCATCTCCAATGGCCAACTACTATAGCCCCCTTCTTGAACATATTTCTCTTCTCTTTCTCCCCGAATATCAACTAATCTAGTGATATCATCAATATCTTTTGAACCCCCTGCAAATGGTCCAACATCTCTTTCCTAAAGTTTTGCATGAGTACATGAGACTTCAGCGTCTCTAATGGCGCCCAAATGTTTCTTCAATCTATTAATGCTAGCATTGTATTTTTTCTTACAAAATTTGCGCTCACTACAATTCTTGTCATTTGGACTTGGAAATGAGCCATATTTTCACCCCAGATCAAGTTGTTCATTATTATTATTATTTGTTTTTGAATATGTTAACTATTCAGTTGTTTATTTTATTAGAACCAGAAGAAGTATGTTCACCCACTTAAATCTTGAAAAACAAAATGATGACTTTATTAAAAGGTCACTATTATTGAGCATCAAAAAGACAATAAGGAATAAATACTTAATAATTTAAGTATAAAAAATACTGATGCAAAACTCAAGAATTTACTATTTAGTATTTACTAATTAAGTATTCAATGATTTATAAAACTCAAGTAATTAGTTGAGGATGCAAAACTGAAGTAAATATTGAAACACTAAAGTTACCCATCCTAGAGAAACAATCAATAATTTATAAAATCAAAAGATTCAAAAGAATCAAAACTATAAAAAACTTACAAAATGATAACCCATTTGTCCAAAGAGTTAAAAAAAATTCACTAATGCAACACCAAATATTAAAGAGAAATCGTGAAAATTGAAAAGGGACTATAAAGTAGAAGAAAATAACAGAATTGTCCTTTTAAATTATAAGACAAATTTAAGACTGATAAAGTAGAATAAAATCTATTGGGATTATTATTTTTTGTTTAATGACATTTTATTAACATTGACTTACCTAGTCTTTAATAAAATGCCATTAAACACAAACCAGAACCCACTCTTTAATATGGTGCACAAATCTAAATCCTTGAAAAAAAATGGAAGAACAAAAAGAAAATACAAAAAAAAAATTAATATAAACCCATAATTTGTAAAAAACAATAACCCTAAACCTAACTTATAATTATACAGACCTTTCAAAATGCAATTGGTCTTTGGCTCAAAGCAGTGTTGGAGGGCAAAATTATACTTATTTTTAATTTCTATTCAAATTTAAAGGATGTATATTTTGATTTTAGTTTTAGGATTTAATTTTAGGATTTTAATTTTTTTTTTGGGATTCTAGGGTTTTCTTATATTTTCTTTATTTACTATTCATGAGTACTATTCATGATCCGATCCATGATAAGGATCAAGACGTTGATAAAGATATTTTGGAAGAGGGTGAAGAATATGGAGAGAAAGCAACAGGAGGAATGATCCAAATCATGGCCCTTGAAGATCTCATTAATATTGAAGAGGTGGAGTAGTCGAGAGATTTAGGGTATTGGAATCATAGTAGTGCAGTGAAAGCATGGTCGATTTAGAATCTGCAAATTGTGGCTTTAGATTCAGGGAATAATGAAATAGATGTCGAGAAAGCTTCTAAAGACCAGAAAATTGAGTTTGGAGTATCTTACGCTATTTTCAAAGGGACTTCAAGGATATCTATATTTGATAAATTTTCATTGATTTCTCAATATACATATTAAGATCCATTTCTTGAGGAATTTTTTGTACCACAAATTATATTTGAGCCGACAAAGAAAAAGAAGGTTGAATAATGGAACCATCTCCTTTCTTCATCTCTTGGCTTGATTTATAGCCATGTCCTTTCTCTGTTATTGCTGATTTTACTATTTTAAGGTTTAGGAGAAAGGTGGATTTAGTTTCCTACCTTTCCTTCCTGCATCAATCGGTGCCGATGGTTGCGAAAAGCCCTCTTTCACAACTATCTCAAGCCACAAAAATTATAGGCTTTAATGCTTTTCAATTTGGCAAGAGATTGAAAAGTTCAAAAGATCTTTTGATTTTGAAAAAATACAAAAATCTTTATTTTTTTGGGGTTTTTCTCTCTCCAAAGCATGTGAAAATGGTTTTCGGGGTTGGATTGCCCCCCAAAATCCTTCCCCCTACCCCTTAAAGAGTGGGGAAGATGGCGTAAAATTCCCCAGGTTATTTTCCTGTCGTCTCACTAAGGGCTTTGAGGTGCCAGCTAGGCTTCTAGGTCCTAGGCACTTCAATGCCTAGGTTGCCGGCCTAGACCAATTCACTTTGGCCTAGGCAGCCAGGCGGCCGATTTCCTTAGCACTGCCATATCCCTTCTTCCCCATGGATATTGTAGCTTCTTACCTATGAAAATGCCCTTACTTTTTATAATACAAATTCAGTGGTTACAAGTTTTGTTTCACATCTGAGTTTCTGCCATTATCTTGACTATTTGCCTTCTATGCTCATACAAAATTATTTTTTCTTAACCTTAGGGCAGATTATAATTCCTCTTGTGCTTGCCTACCTTTATGTTATTGATCATTGATCAAGTGTTATCAGAATAGAATTGGCTGGATTAAGGGTCCAATCGATCAAAATCGGTCCGATCGCCAGTTAAACTAGTCCGGCTATATCTTTAGAAAAATAAAAGAAAATAGGAATAATAGTTTAAAAATATGAAATATATTACAAAAAAAGTTTCCTAACCTTGTTTAATCGATCTAACCGTTCAAAAATAGCTGCATTCAACTAGTCAAAACTGGTCAAATATTGGTCTTGATAGGTTGTCAATCAAATCCAGTTTTTTGCATTGGACTAGACCTGCCAAGGCAAACCAATCAGTTGGACGAGCTGGTCCGATTTGTTCGGTCGTGATAAACTTGTCTGATTCTTGTTTGCACCACCACAATGGACCCAAAGAAAAGCCAAGGTGTAATAAAAGAAAAGGAACGAGGATAGAGCCTTCTACTTAATACATATGGGTCTAAGGACTGGCAATCTATGTAAATATTAAAAAAAAAAGGCTGGCAATCTTTGTTTCACACCAGCTAGAAATGTTTGTGTTTATTTTTCTTGCATTTTGTTCATGAATTTGTTTGGATGTCATCTAATGTTCCCATGCCGTCTTTTGTTACTCACCTTTGTTTCTTAATTTGATCTAGAACCGCTAAATTTATATTGTCCTTAGGTCCTATATAGTGTGATTCATGAGGATATCTGTGAAGAAATTGAGCGATTACCAAAGTGCTAGTGCAAGCTTGGAACATATTATTAGCAAATTGGGCATACTTCAGAATCAGCATCAACTTGATACAGTGTGTTAGAATGTAACAAGTGTATTTAAGGGCACTGATGTCTTTTATCTCGTGATCTTTCATGTTCATATATATAGATACCTTTTCAAGGGCTAGTTAGCACACACTTTCCATCTCTCATGCTTCTTGTTCTGCATTTATCCTTCTCTTTTCCCATTCAGACTTGGTGGTTGGCAAAAGTTTCCTTGAATTTATGCATCCTGTTGCTTATATTTATGCAAATACTTTGTAATTACTTCAGTATTTGTCAAATGCTGCACTGGCCCGAACAAGTGTTGCAAGTACAACAGTGTTATCTTCAACTTCAGGCCTCTTCACACTCTTTTTTAGTGCTCTCTTGGGGCAAGACAGCCTCAATGTCTCCAAAGTTGTTGCTGTATTTGTGAGTATGGCTGGTGTTGTAATGACAACTCTTGGAAAAACATGGGCTACTGATGAGACACAGACAAGTACAGCAAGGTAAATTTGTCTTTTATCTCAAAACGACTCTGTTCGTGTTGTATACTGTAATAGAATGGACTATTGAAAACCATTCTATAATGGGTTCGTCAGTGTCGAACGCAGTGGGACCCACAGAATTGGAAATGACTCCATTGGCATGTTGCACTCTCTTTCGATCACAGTCTTCCATTCCATTGGATGGTGATGACCATAATGGACTTCGGTTATCCAAACTCATTGGATTATGGCATATATTCAAACTGGCAAAACACAGTTTTATTTACTTTGTCTTTGTTGAGTATATGCAGAGGTCTGGTCCTTATATGAAGAGTGAGTTTCATCAACTTTATATGGAGCTTCGCATTTTTCTTTTTGCTTTAAACGTGTCTCTTTAATTTGACATTTTGAGTCTATTTCGTTAATCTTTTTGCATTTAGTCCTTAGATACCTACAATTAAAAAAATTAATTTTTTCAAAACTCAAATTAAAAACGGGGTTTTGTTCTCTTGCAGTGATGGGAAGCGTTCACTTGTTGGTGATCTATTTGGTCTCCTCTCAGCTGTAACATATGGTCTATTCACTGGTGAACATTGGCCTCATGAATCCTTTGCTTTTCCTTTTATTCAATTCATGGAATGTCATTCTTATATTCACCATGGATGATTATGGACTTAGCAAATTTCACATTGCAGTGCTTTTAAAAAAGTTTTCTGGGGCAGAAGGAGAAAAGATTGATGTGCAGAAATTTTTCGGATATATTGGATTGTTTACACTCGTTGCCCTTTGGTGGCTTGGTAAGATCTGATATACAACCTTTTTTTGATTATCATGATATGAGTTCTTTGTAATCATTTTTTTCAGTATGTTTTGGAATTTTTGCTTCTTTTGGTAAACAGTTTTCCTATTTGAGTTAATTTTTCATTTGAAAAGAAAGAGCTTTATTTGAGCCTTTTTTTGCTACTTTTACTTTTCATAGCAGTAAGTTTTATATTATAACCATAAAACAGACAAATGAGATTCATTTACTAGAACAGTGATCTGGGAAACTAAACAAAGGATGGTGACCCCAGTGCCAGATCATAATTAAGTATCCCCAATATGTGCTATATGATTTTCCATAGATTTCACTTTAAAGTAGATAGATCTAGCAAGCGGCACTCACTGGGTTCATTTTCTATTAGTGTGGCCATTAACTGCCTTGGGGATCGAGCCGAAATTCACCATCCCACACTCAGCAAAAATAGATGAAGTCTTGCTTGCAAATGGCTTTGTTGGGAGCGTGCTCTCAGACTATTTCTGGTATGTTATACTCATAAACGTTGAGACTGCCCTCCTCAACAATGTAATCTTCTCTCTCTCTCTTCTCTCCATGCACTCTCTCTCTCTCCCCCCCTCCTGACTCCGCCCCAAAAAAAACCAAAAAAAAGAAAAATGGAAAGGCGCCCTTCTCCCTAGGTGGTTAACTTCGTTATCCTTCATCAGAAATACAGGACACTTGTTAACTGCGTCTTCCATCATTGATTACTGGGTACTTTTGATCATTTGCCTATGTGCTTTTAAAATGACAGATGAAGCATGGGCAATATGATATGGATGTCACACATTTAGTTTTGATGGTGAATGTTGATTTATTTTGTGAATGATAACAAACTTTACAGTGAGATGGTTAACAAAGACCTTGTATATGCGAGAAAAGAAGTTTTCTTATATAATGTAACAAACCTTAACCGTGAGATGGTTAATAAAGACCTTGTATATGCGAGAAAAGAAGTTTTCTTATATAATGTTTCATGCACAGGGCATTATCAGTGGTTTGGACAACTCCTTTGGTTGCCACCTTAGGCATGTCCCTCACTATACCACTTGCTATGGTTGCGGACATGGTGATTCATGGCCGCCATTTTTCAGCTGTTTATATTCTTGGCTCGGCTCAGGTAAGTTTTTTGTTACAAATCGAGCAGAAAATTGGGTAGAATAACTTCTCAGAATATCTTCAAGTTGTATGCGTATTTATTTGTTTTTTGTATTTAGTTATTTATTATAGTTATTTTACCCCCTTCCCATCCCCTCTTGGTGGGGGTGTTGGGGGGGAAGCTCAGGAAAGCAAAAGAAAGGAATTTGAAAAACTTAAATGGGGGAAAACTTGCAAAAAGCGAGCATATAATAAAAACAAGAAAGTTTTGGATTTGTACAAGTTTCGATATTGTCGGTTAAGAAACTGATGCTGGAAACTGACGCAAGGGATAAAAATAACCTTAAAGAAAACTAGAAACTCAAAAGAACCCTACATCTTAAATCTAAAAAATAGTAAAGAAAAAAAAAAAAACCCTAGAAAACCCATTACATCATTCTCTTGGGATTGGAAAATGCTCGACCTCGAGTTTCTTGAATTTATCATATCCTCCAGAGGCCATCTCAATAATTGGGTAATGGAGTTCCACCGCTTAGGTACCTTGTCTTCTTCAATGAAATAATTGATCAAACACTTAATATCCAAATTATAATGGATATCTGAAATGCCTAACTTAATCTTGATTTTTCCTTCGAGGCCAAAGGATGGTATTTCCGTTATTGCAATTAGCATAGCTTCTTCTTCATAATTGGTTTTTGAGAGAGAGTAATCTGCAGATTGCTGCTTGGGCTGAATGAGATTTGGTGCAATGGAGAGAGAGAGGATTGTGGCTTGAGTTGAATGAGGTTTTGGTGCTGTGCAGGTTTTTGCAGGATTTGTAATAGCTAATGTCTCAGATAGGTGTTCTTACAAGATGGGTTTGTAACACTAGTCAAGCTAATTCTTTTAGCAACGGCCATTCTTTTGTTGTGGGCTATACCTATTCTTTGTTGGGGTGAAGTGAAAGGAAGTCAATCAAGGCATCACAGAAAGATGGGTTATCCCTATTCTTTGTTGGGGTGAGGCGAAAGAAAGTCAATCAAGGCCTCACAGAAGGAAGTGTAATTTGAGGTGTGCTTTCATTTGATGGGCCCCTAAATGAAATAAATATCAAGTTACAAGATTTAACTAATCTCTCTCTCTCTCTCACTCACACACACACACGCACGCTGCATGCACATGCAAACACACACATTATCAGTATAGGATGCATTCAGTGTTATTTCTCTGGTGTGTGGTTATCAACACGAGAAGTTGTTTGCCCACGAGTTACTACACTAGGGCTTTTGCATTACACAGCTTCGGAAGCAGAAGTTTGGAATTACATACAATCTTTTCATATTTATACTCACTATGAGCTTTCTGGACAGCGATTTTGGATCATAGAGACGCATTTTCAGCTTGATTTCACTGAGTGCAGAAATCCTCTTGTGCGTGCGTATGTGCGTGTGAGAGAGAAAGGTAACGTGACTTGTGTGTGCGTATGTGGGTGAGAGAGAGAGAGGTAGCGTGATTTTTAGTCTCGTATGTCATATATATATATATATATATATCAAGGATAATCTAAACTTTACAACCTTTCAAATTACAAAAGTTTAATATTTGGAGAGTTGTGAATGGTGAATTTATTAATTTTGTAGTCTATTTTTTTTAAAAAGTTATTTTTGTGAGGCAATTTTGTAAATATTGCTACAAGATAAAGGTATTTTTGTCATTTTTATAAGGGGTAAAGTTGAAATTTTAATTAAAGGACAAAAGCACTCTACAAATAAAATTCTAAAACACTAGCATCCAAAATGTCATTGTACTTTTGTGAAAATTTCAAATTTGTTTTGGTTTGATGATAAAGTTACATATTTAAATGATTTTTAATAAAAAAACAAATGATTCATTTGATAAATACACCCATTACAACCTTTTTTAACATGAACCATTGTATATTGAGGGGTTAACTTTAAAAAAACCCTATATATATATATATATATATGGAAAATATGTGATTAACCCACTTAGTTCATATAAGCATACAAGCCTAATGTCTCATATTGAATCTGGGTCGATCTGATGATCATGGATGTCTGATAGTGTTTGAATTTTAATTTGTTTTTTCTATAGATCCAAATCCTTTGAATTTTAGGTGTGTGTTCATAAAAAATAGGTGAATCTTAAAAAAATATCAAAAAAAATATTTTATATGAAATAAATCAATCAAAATATTCTCGAAAACTTTGGGGGGTATTTTGGTCATTTTATTTTTTACGAATAATTTTTTTTTTATATTAGGTGCGTCTTGATGAGAAGAACACAACTTGAAATTTTAAGTAATTTGGATATGTAGAAAAATAAAATAAAATTCAGCACTACCGGACATTCGTGATCGTCAGATCGGTTCAGATTCAATCTGAGCCGTTGGCTCATATGTCCATATGAGTTAGTGGGTTAATTCCATCTTTTTCC